GTCCCGGGCCACACCGAGCCCAGCGTCCCCGCCGCTGTCACCGCGACCTTGAAGCCAGCGCGGCCACCACGTCCCTGAGGGAAGCAGCTGCGGTCCCGCTGCCCTGGTGCCCGCTCTCATGCACGCTCCCACGCACACCCTCACCTGCCGCGCTCAGCCGGTCCGTACACACGCCGCGAGGACCGCCAGGCCTCACCCGCCGCCTCGCGCTCGCATCCCCAGGCACTCACGCCCCGCGGCGCCGGCCTGCTCTTTCTCACGACTCACACCTGCACAGGCACGCGCACCGCCCCGCGACGGCTCGGCTTCCCATACACACCCAGACGCGTGCACGCACTCACACCGAGGAAAACCTCGGCTCCCGCTGGCCTCTGCGCGGCGTCCCCCCGGCCCTCACACCTGCACTGGCGGCTGTGGTCCCCGAGGGTACCCAGCCCCTGCAAGCCACTGCTTCTGCCCCAGCTGCCCGCACCTGCCGTGCGCCCCTCACCCCCGGCTGGGGAGGGGCAGCTCACCGTCCCCGCCACCGCCTCCACCCGGTCGGTCGGGCCGCACACCACTGGCCAGCACCCTGCGCGGCCACGCCGGGCTCAGGCACACCCGCTCCGCCTCCCGCTCGGCTGGGACCGCACGGCGCTGTGCGCCACAGTCTTCGAACAGAAAACCAGCGAAGGGCCGGCTGGCAGGTGCGCCGGGGTTGCCAGGTGACTCAACCAGTGCGCTGGACCGGGTGTAGGGGAAGATTTTAAAGCAGTAGCTTCGTAGTTGGGCCGTCAGACTCCGCCGCAGCTCGGAGAGTTTGCCTCGCTCCGTCCGCGCAGCGCTGCACGCATCCTGTTCCCGGCCGTTTAAAGACTGTGCCCGGGCAGGCTGGCCCCAAGGACTCTGACCTCACCCGCTTGCTGGGACGCCGACTCCCCCAGATCTTCCTGCCTCCTGAAGATGTCCCCCAACTAAACCTGCCCACATCCGCCTGACCACGTGTGACCAAATATATGTAGCCAATTATAGACCATCCTGTATACACAACCAGTTATAGACTAACCTGTTGTCGACTCTGGTCCCTGCTTAAGTTGCTCGTAGAAGTTGCTAGGTCAGTGTAAGCCGAAGCTGGTGATCTGGACCCCGTTCTCACCAGCCCGTCGGCATTAATAAAGTTGCCTTCCAGCTCCTTGGTGCAGAGCATTCTCCATCTGGCCCAGTACGGATTCTGCCACATTCCTGGTGCATCGACCAGGAAAACTGTGCTGACCATTTGGGTGACTGGTGGAGGCCTGCGGCCTGCGAATGAGATGGCGTATCCTCCCGTACTTTTTGGGGTCTCCTCGGTGGTCCTGGATTAGGAGCCTCTGCACAGCAGCAGAGACCTCACTGGACCAAGAGAAGAAGACAGACACAACCGCCCGGGCCCTCACAGAAGGCAGGACTGCCGTGGGATGTCCCGCAGGCAATCTGTCAGTTTCCAGCCCTTGCCTGGCGAGGGAGGGTTTGATCACTCTTTGCCTGTGTTAGCTGGTTGGTCAGAATAGTCAGTTTCAGTTTCAGCTAGCGCCCAAGGGGCTGGGGTGTTTAACCTCTGTGCGCTTGTGCGGGAGGGTGTGGACTGAGAGAGACCAGACAACGTGAGCAATAGGTCGTTCCATCTCTGCCACACGGCCAAAGCCACGCACAGGGCTCAGAGCTGCGGAGCTGGACTGGCCCTAAGCTGCACTTCCACGATGCATCTAACGGCGACATCTCTACAGTCTCCAGAAAGACAAAATGGAGACCCTGTGCATGCTTCTCCTTAGCCCAGACCGTCCCCACTTCGGCGAGAGCCAAGTGGCCAGGCGGGCGCCCCATGGTCTCTCATTCATGGGGCGCCTGCGGAGGACACGCTGTAGTTCACCATTCTGTGCATCACCTGCATGGGACTTTGAGCCTGACCAGGCCACAGGACTGTCTGTTCTGGAGGAGGTCTAGCAAAGCATCACTGCATAAGGAAATGGCAGCAGACCTCAGTCCCTGTGGAAAGCCGCTGGGACAGCAGGCGACGCTTTGCTGAGATGTGCCCGAAGGAATGATGACACGATGGCTGGCTGAGTGAAAGTCCAGGTCCTGGGATAATTCAACTGTACTGCCCTCGCTAATCCTGGTAGATTCCTCCCACTTCCCCTGTTCCTGCTTTTTGTGCGAGAATTCTAACAAAAGGCTAAGGAAAATTGTAATGGAGGCTTCAGTCCTAGAGGCTGTAGCCCCCCAGTCCTATAACTGTGTCTCTTAATTTTCTTTTCATCCACCATACCTTGTTTTCGAGACCCGTCACCCCACACAGAAGCCAACAGGCACCCGCCTTGCTTGCTGTGACACCGTTCAGGAGCTCGCAACACACACTACAGGGGGTCAGCATGGGTGCAAGCCAGAGTAAAACTACCCACTTCAGCTGGGCGTGGTGGGGCACACCTGTAATCCCAGCACTCGGGAGGCTGAGGCAGGATCGCTGCGAGTTTGAGGTCAGCCTGAACTGCATAGCGAGACCCTGTCTCAAAAAGACAAAAAGAGTTTTCAAGACAAGGCTTCTCGGATGAATACCACATGAAAATAAAACCCTGAGGACTCCGTACTCTGTGAAATCCATTGGCCACGCCTATGTCCTACTTGGCCGCCAGAGGGAACCCCAAATGTAGAAGCCATTGACCAAGTTTGCGACAAAGTAACAGATTCCCGGTGGAATGAAGCCTGATCAAGTCCCATCCACTGACTCCTGGCGTGGCCTATGTCAGAACCGCCGCCTTGGCCCCGTGCCTGCCCCGTGCCTGCCCCTGCCAGGATAAGGGGACCTGCTTGGTGATCAAAGCGAGCTCGCCTGGCCATGAGGTTTCAATTTAAAAAGCCCTAAGGAAAAATTTATCCTGTCCTGCCCGCTGACCCCGAGGACGATTTTCCTCCACCGTACGTGCTCCATCGAGCGGCCTCCCCGGACCACCTGCCACATCAGCCGCTCCCAGCCCGGCGCCCAGTCCACAGCCAGAGGCTTCTCCTGACTCCACGGCCCAGTCCTTGCTGCCACCATCGGCCCCTGCTCCCGCCCTGCCCGGCCTGCCAGACCCTCGTCTGGCCCGTCATCACTGGTAAGATCCGGCTGAGACCCACACCGAACCAGCCCGGACCTTCTGACAGGAGAGGAGTCTTTACTGGGGGCGGACCAGGACAGCCCCGAGCTGATCAAAGCGTGGGGTTTTTAACTATCTTCCGGGAGGGTGTTGTGGGCTGGAACACTTTCCGGCGGGGCGGGGGGTGTCTGGGGGTCAGAACAGCCTGAGCGGGGTGTCGCTCGTCAGAGTTGAACGTCTGGTCATGCCAAGGCGGATGAGGGCGAGGCTGGCTTTTGTTGAGGGGAACTGGAGGGGAGCGGGTGAAGAGGAAGAAGTTTTTATTAAGGAGTTAATAACAGAGCTTAAGTCCCCCGTGGGGGTGAGCTGCCTTGTGGCTTGTCAATCCCCTCTGCTCATCCCATCTCCAGACGCCTCTCCGCGCTGACCCGGGAGGCGCACCAGGGCCAGAGCAATTGCCTGTCACATTTTACCAGCCTTTCTCCTCCACTGATCTCAGCTGGAAACACCGCACCTCATTCCTTTCAGAGAAGCCTCAAGCTCTGACCTTCTCCTGGCCTCTATCTTTCAGACCCATCTCCCTACTGGGATGACTGCCAGCACTTCCTTCTGACCCTCTTCAGTACCGAAGAATGCCTGAAAAATACTCTCAGACAGTCAAAATTATGAGAATCATCCACAACAGGAAGGGCCCAAAATGCCACGCCAGGATGGAAACCGGGAAAGAGGAAATGCATGAATGTGTGTGTGTGCATGTGCGCAAAATAAAGTGCGTGGGCCCAAGGTCACCCGGACTCAGCTGGGAACTGGAGGAAAGGTTGGTCTAATCAGTCTAAAAACAAGCAACTGAAAAATGATTTGCACTGTAATGGACAAAGACACAAAAGAGCTGCTTAACCTTAGTGCACCAGGATAAGCAGGGTGGCTCAGGCAGGCTAGTGAAAAAGGACAGACAGAACACCAGAGGATCCAGATGGCCATGGCTGGGCTCCCGCAGACACAAGGCCAAGAGACTTGCGCCCAGCTGTGCATGGGAGACTGGAGGGGAAAACGGGCTGTCTTTTCATTTCAGAACAAGCAAGGGAACAAGACAGAGCCCAAGCTCCCCTCTCCGCTGTAGGAGCCCCAAGGCCGGGTCTTGCTTGACATCACCAGCCGGGCGCGGCCTGCAGGCATCTGAAAGCTGGAGCAACTCCAGCCTGCGGTGAGCGGCCAAAGTCCGTCGAGCCTGTGGAAGTTTTACAGGAGAAATCACATTACAGATTTTAACTAACTGGTAAATACACTTTTGGTTTTCAGTTTTCGCTTATGCACATAAAATATTTCCTGTACATTACAAAGTTTTGAATTTACAGGGTTTACTTGCTCTGTATTCTGTTGTTTTAAAATAAGAACGCTGACTCAAGGTTACGCAGCTGTCTCTTGGCAGTCGGTCAAGTCTACTCTCTGAGGGAAGAAAAAGGGACACTCACAAGTCAAGTGGCTACAGTCAAGTGTTGTAGAAGGTTACAGTAAGTGGGAGAAAAAATGTTAAGAAAGCTATAAATGTAAGAGATGTACTTGTGATATGAAAGGATTCTGTATGGTAAAAGGCTCGTCCTGCTAACGGGATAAAAAGAAAGGTAATGACAAGACTAAAAAGCTTGTTACATCAAGAAAAGCTAATAAAGGGGCTGGGGATTTAGCTCAGCGGCAAAGCGTCTGCCTGGCAAGCGCAAAGTCATGAGTTCAATTCATTGTACCAGAAGAAAAAAACGAAAAACAAAAAAAAGAAAAGCTAATAAAAGTAGTTTGTTAAAGAAAATATATGTACGGTCACTTGCCTATTTGATGGAGCTTGGGTTGTACCTTCTAAAAATTTCCATGAGGGAAATGGTCCAATCAACGTAAGATTACCAAATAACAGCCTTTGAAACTTACGTGATGTATGTGCTGCGTATCAGTCTATTCAATACTGAGATGGACATTTAAGTATGTTACAGAAAGTGTCATCGTGATTGTCATGCTGAAATGTTATGTGCGGCTTTTGACCTCAAGTTTTCTTTGTAGAATTATGTAACTGCTGTCAACATTCTACAGGGATCCACCTACTGGGACAACCATAATTGATAATAATAACAGTTCTTTGCTTTACTTTGGATTTCTTTTTTTTGCTTTACTTTATATTTCAAAGTGTTTGATATTTAGATAAAATTATAACTAAACCCAAGACCAAAAGGGAGACAATCAGTTGGGCCCTCGAAGAGACTAAAGCGTTTAAACAGACCAAAGAGGAGTTAGCCTCTGCTGCAGCCCTCAGGATCCCAGATGTAACCTGCCCTTTCAACCTGTTTGTTGATAAAACATGTTGCCTCAGGAGTCTTAACCCAAACGATGGGACCCAGAAAAGGCCAGTTGCCTACCGATCAAGAACCCCAGACCCAGTATCAAAAGGATGGCCTCCTGGTTTATGGGAAGTTACCACCCTCCTGATCAAGGAGGCAAACAAATTGACGTGGGGACAAAATCTGACTTTTCAGGGACCACGTGCTGTTCTTGAGCTCCTCAACCGTCAGGGACACCGCTGGCTCTCCAACAGCTGTGTCACCCCGTACCAAGGACTGCGTGTCAGAAATCCCTGACCAACCTTCCAGCCAGTACAGGCTCTAAGTCCAGCCACCCACCTGCCCACAGAGCTCAGAAACGGGACTGTCCTGCACGGACTGATGAGCTCTTTGCTCGCCGGCCCGACCTCCGGATGACACCAACACACACTGAGTACACCTGTTCAGACGGAAGTAGCTCTGTTAAAAACGGACAACACAGGGCCGGCACACAGTCGTCACTATGCAGGAGGTGCTCCTAGCTGGGCCTCTTCTCCAGAACCGGTCTACCTAATGAACTGAGCTCTGGACACTCATACAGGCCCTCAACTGATGGGCCAAAGATTTAAAAAAATGGCAGAGATCCAGCCCTGAAGTCACCACTCCAGGGTCAAGTGGGCTCATCCCAACGACTACGGAAAGACCTATCCTGATACAGCAGACCCCTGAGGACCACCCTGGAAAGACAACGCACTCGAAGCCCTGCCCTGTCACTGTGGAAGCTGACGAGTCAACGCACGGCTGAAGACTGATCAGACGCCGTACACCAGACGTCTGCCCTAAAACTCATGCACTGCTGTTCCGTTTGGTTTCTGGGCCCTTTGCTCTTGTTAATCTGTACGTTTGCCCTGGGACCCTGGGCTGTAACCCAGAGGACTGGAGTGTTCCCTAAAAGGTTACCTTCGTCCTTTTTGACATCTGTGTGTCCCCTGGACTGCCCACTCTGATTTGGGACTAAAACGATTTTCCCTTAGGTAATGTGTCTAAGCCTCTTAGGAGTTTACGGAAAGGGAGGATACTGGGAGCTCCAAGCCTGTCTGGGTGGTACTCCAAGTCTCAACCATAGCAGCTGAGACCCTGCCAACCTACCATGTCCTTGTATTTTGATGCCTGTCCCAACAACGAGACCAGCAGCTGCTATACAGGATGTGATGACCTGAGTTGGGAACAGACTTTCCAAACCAGCAACAAGCACGTCTGACGAGGCTGGCGGAACCCCCTCTCACAACAGGTGGTCCGAATGCTTTTGATATGTGTAACATCCACTTTTGGTACTGTACTTACGGAAACGTGCCAATATATATTGGCCTGGAAGAGAAAAACAGTGGGGCACAATGGTCTGGAAAGGCCCTCCCTACAGTGGAAGGTCTCCCCTCGTTCAGTCTGGAGGGCCCTCAGACTGCAGGAAGGGCACCTGTACCCGTTTAGTGTCACGTATGCAACCCCAAGAACACTGTCCGGGCAACGGGCCGCTTGTGAGCCGTCCGAGCGGATGGCTCAGTTAGAGGTTCCGCAGTTCACAAGGTCTTTATCCCCACGATTTGAGTTCCCCCTCCGAGGCTTTCACAGACTTCAGTGCTGAGCATGCCAAGAACAACACCAGCGGTCTCTCCCCACTAGCTTCAGACCTGCTGCAGTTGGCTAAGGGGACTGTCTCCAGTTCGACACTGTCCCCAGATGGATGCCACTCTAGGAAAGTAACGGCTGCTGGCTCTGCCCGCCGCTCACCGCCCTCACATACCGGGCTTAGGGCTAGCTCCAAACGCCTCCTGGTTCCGTATTATTTAGTCCCCACAATCTCACTTCAAGCTTCCCCAACTCAAATACCGAGAAGTTCCACTCGCTTCCTGGGAAACAAGGGCTTTCCACACGCGTCAGTGACTGTGCTCCATCACCCGACCCAGCTCCTCACTCCAGGCAAATACGTCTACCCCGGAACTGGGCCCTTCTGGCTCACCCTGAATGCCGCCAGAAACAGGACCCATCCTGGCTGGCGTAACAACGGCAGGTGGCCTAGCCGTGGGTGGAAAAGCCCCTGAGTTAGGACAGAGCCAATATACACAACTAACCAAATACTAGACGACTTTAAAAGCATCCAAAGCTCCATCGGCACCCTCGAGGAATAAACTGATTCTTTGGCCATGGCTGTCTTGCAGAACCGGAGGGCTCCAGACCTCCTGACAGCCCAGCAGAGGGGAGCCTGTCTCTTCCCAGAGGAGGAACGTCACTGCGCTACCACGCCGGGAGGAATCAAGGACTCCTGACAGCTGCGAAAGCGGGAACCGGGAGTCTCTTCTCGGTGGGGTTCCTGGGCTTTCTCCCTTCATGGGAGGGAGTCTATTGGTATTAACTGTGGTGACCGTCCCGAGACCGAGGTGCCCGCGGACGAATAAGAAAAGGTAAGCGAGAAGAAAAACAGAAGAGGCAGAAGTCTGGGGTCAGGGGGCCCACAGCCTCTGGGGCTGCGGCCGCCCGGATCACCCAGCTCCGTCGCCTTTCATTAGAACCCAGACGTAACTCAGACCCACAGGAGTAATTCACTATCCCTTTCCCTTCCTGCCTCTCAGCGGATGGTGACCATCCTGGGGCGAGGCTCCCGCGCCCGGCACGCTGGGGATCGTCAGCCGACCGCCGGTAATCGGTTCAGAGCAATCACGGTCCTCCCCCACAGGCTCTGCCCGGGCCTTGAAGGCCCTTCCGACGGTCCCGCCCCCGGTGCCCGCGCGATCCGCATCCAGCATGGTACCTGCCACTGGCAGCGCCTAAGCACCGCCCCTGCTCTCAACACTGAGGAAAGGGGGTGTGGGAGAGAATTTCAAAGCAGCGGCTTCGGAGCTGGGCCATCGGACTCCGCCGCATCGGAGGGTCTGCCCCGCTCCCGGCCCGGTGCCCGGCGCAGGCTGCCCCGCCGAGGACCCGGCCTCCCCCGCCGCGGGGACGCTGACCCGACCTCCCT